GGGATCCCATTTTATGTAAGATGTTTTTCATGTCATTTGTGATGAAGAATTGGAATGTAGCGAGTTTTCCTTACTAGATAATCATACCCCAGCATCAATAGACTGCTGGAAAAAAATAAAAACATCAACAGCAGCAACAGCAGCAACAACTTCTGGACTCACATCGGAGATCATGGGAGTGTGGGTGCCTTATGCCTTATCCTGGTGGTCTCTTTCGACACCCCCAAATAACAATAACGACCACCGCCTCTCACACGGCCCCTCTCGAAACCTTCTCTTCCGATTCAGGACGAAGCTCTACGAATTGCCCGAGACCCTGGCGCACCTGGAGCCTTCCAATGAGGTGGAGGCGGTGATTCTCGACTTTGTGGGACGAATATCGACGGTTGAATGGACTGTGGGTCGACCCGTTGACCTATCTGGTGTCGGTCTAACTCGCCTACCTACGCGGCTTGTTTGGTAAACTACGTCGGGTGAACAAGGTGAACGAACTCATCTCCATGTCGGCTTTCTCTTTGCGTTGGATGAATTGAGTAAGACAAAACTTGCAGTTCCAGAGTTGGGCGCCAAACTTGGAGGGTAGGGATGTTGATCCACTCACTGGATGGGACGAAAAAGATCACCTCCTTAGAACCGGCTATAGATCTCAGGTTTCAATACATTGAGAGATTACAGTCAACATGATCAAGACCGGCCATAGTGGGATTGTCAAGTGCTGAAAAAAAAATGCGCATCGAGATGCTGGGGCATCGATCGATCAATTTACTCTGAAATAGAAGTATTCGGGGAATCCCAGGGATGGATTTTTCTTAGATTTCATGAAAAGTAATGGGAGGGATAGGTACAGGTGACATCAGATCCTGCGATGGGCACTTGGATGCGACATGCTTCACCAGTTCCAGAGCATCATCCAAACAACATGTGTATATATATATATATACACAAACATGTATCTACACTTATCCGGAAAACTGGGTAGAGATCGACAAAAATACCCGGGAGCATGTTTCGTGGCTGCCGCTGCCATTTTGCCAGCAACGAGAGGGAATGCTCAATTTGTTGTCGCACTAGTTTTTGGAGATTGAATACTTGACGAACCCTGTACTTACCAGGGTGCATTTGATCGTAAGATTGGCAAGCGTCGCCTTTGACTAGTCTCACTGCGGTGCAACATATCGTCAGCCCTTTGCAAAGCAGCAGTGCGTAGCTTGTGAAGGCAAACACACCATATTGATCCCTTTTCCGTCAAAAGAGCCTTAGCTTTGAGACTGTCTCATTGCATCTCTCGAAACTCTTGCGCTGGCTTTGCGGGTGTTTTTTGAGCCAAGCATCCTGTGCAGGCTAAGGCAGGCCCACAGTGTTTGGCCTTCAATGAAGCTGTCCTGATTGGTTACGAGATGAACGATCAGGCTGGCACTTTGCCGCGAAGTAGAGTGACAAGGATTGTCCTGGAACAGGGTTGAGAAGGCCCCATCGAACCGACACAACCTCAAGACCTCAAGAAGTAATATTGGGATACATCAAGATCATCTCAAGAGTGTGGTTATCATGAATAGATCGTCGTTATGAAGAATCCAGGATAAGGTCCAATCGACTCCTGGTGATGAGTCATGCTGGCTGAACCCTTTCTCTACGGGGAGCTGTTGGGTTGGCCATGCCAGCGCGGAGAGTTGAACATTCTGAGCCAAGCAGGGTCCGTTTTGCTTTTTTGGGGGGGGGTGCAGACTCCAGGAGATGTGGGGTTTGCAGATGTTGGTGTCTTGCTGCAGGAGAAGTACCGCAACGTCAAAGCACTGACAGATGCTCAGCACTGACGATCACCGCTTCCAAAGTTCCAGACCCCACGGCCAGGGGGGAGATGTGTGCCATAGTGTTGCTTCGGGACACCGATGGAACACACCCCAAAGTCACATGTGTGTTACTTGAGTGATTTTCAAGTCGTTCTGTTTGGGCCGAATATTCTTGCTGCTTGCTACTTTTCCTAGTCTCTCAGTGGCTTGATGCAAGTCCAAGATGCCCTACTAATTACTGTAGAAGTTCATCGCTTGTGTTGTTTACGGGAGAACTGGAGCCAGAACTGTTCATACACATGCCGTCGGAACTCCTTTGCTCCTCAGTCGAGCGGTTGCATCCTTTTGCAGTAGCAGCAAGTTTCTCACGAAGCCAGTATTGCAGTGGTTCCAGAGAAGACTGCCAAGCTTCAGAGGAAACAAATAAACCAGTAGCAAGTACAATCCACACATTTAGGACATATTTGCAACTTGTGGTGACAGAGGATTCTTTCTGATGCTGCTTCCAACCCCTGGCAGAACCATCGCAGAAAGACATGTTGCCATTGAATTTATTGCAGTGTGACATGCTGCGAAAGGCCAAATTGATTTACTCGTACCTGCGGGGTTTCTCAAACGATGATAGGCCTTTTCTTGCGCCTTCCTGGGCACTCTGCCTGGACTTCTCTCGGTGTCTTGTCCAGGACTGCCTGGTGTGTCACATCTCTGCCGAGTCCTTTCTGGATGCCCTGCACAACCACCACCGTGAGATGAAGCGCTTCAAGCTCCTGGCCGCTGCCAGGTCGGTTGTGGCTTCGCATCATCCGTTCGACGGTGAAGCGTTCTCAGCGTCATTGGTCATACCCTAGGGATCCAGTCGTACCTTCTCAGGTGATTGCAGGCGCCAGAAGGGCCCAGTCGTAGCTTCTGAGAAGGTATGTGGATCCCTAGGGATAGTCATCATGTTGTCATCATCGTCATGTGAAGGTTGGGTCCCAACCCCTACATCGAACATCCAGAAGGAATGCCCGGCCTTCCGAATTCCAGGACCAGTTGTAGGGAGCCAAACCAACACAGGCTACGCGGCTACCCTGTTCCTACCTTACAAGTAAAGAGCGGCGAACTGGGTCCAAACCAGGGGACCCGACCGGTTCACCAACGAGAATGAACCGAATAGACGACTGGGGAGGTCAACCGTGACGTCGTAGGACCGTTACGTCGTAGGCTCCAGGTCTTGATCCACAGACCGTCGGAGCTCTTACGGGATCAGCATTTCCCAGACATGCCACGGATGGAATAGATACCTACATTGGCCTCTGAAACCACCCCAATGTATGCAAATATGCCATAAATATTCATATGGACATACATATATATATATTTACATGGAGTGTTTGGGTTTGTGTGTGCTTTTCCAGTGTTGGTGCCTTCGTGGGTGACCTCAGACCTCTGAGTGTTGAGTTGGACTGGAGACCTCAAATCTTTTTGACGCAGTGAAGACAACCCTACGGAGATGTAGTTGCTTTGTTGGGCTCCCACTCTGAATCATACTGGGAGCTAGCCAATCCATCCACATAAAGTTGTATAGGAGCCTTCTGGGCAGAATGTTGAAGAACTAAATTGAGAAATTGAGAGATTAACACTTTCTCGAAGTGTTCCTTGCCACTTTGCCCTCTACACGAGTCTATGAGTATGACTAGCCTAGCTGTACAGAGTCTGTTACTTACATAATACAGTTTTGCCATGGTCTTTGTAATGACTCAGTGAGCCAACTACAGCCACATCCTATCCACATCCTTATTCCCAAGAAACAACCCTTGCCAGGTACAAAGAATGGGAACGCTGCGGGATTCACAAGTTGACAACCTTGGAGGCAGCCGGGTGGGATGCTGTTCACAAACCCACAGGCATCCGCAGGCTCTGACCGATGCCGTGAAGAACACCTGGTGAAGTGTTGCACGTGATTTGGGGTCGATGAACCGGCCATCCCTACACCTGGAACCTTTCAAGGTACCAAATTTTGGAGCCTCAACATTTAACCAAATGTCATTATTTTTGGGAGGGTCATGTCTCATCTATGTAACATGCCACAACTATTTCATAGAACCTAAGTGAAAGTACTCACCTAATATCACATTCTAGAAATCGTTTAGGAGTGTGATTTCAATCCAGGAGTGGGTCCGAAGCAATTTCCTTCACAGTCAAGCGACCCGACATGACCCGACATGCAATTATTCCAACCTAGTTTGGAGTCCCAAATTTGGCATTGTTGAACTCCTTTGGACATGAAATGGTTCAATTTTGAGTCCAATCTAGGCACAAACTGCACCGTCCAGGTAGTTCTTCAACTGAAGTTCATGTTACTTTCTGATCTTCCGACAGTCTTCGCAGATTTGAGTTTGTCCCATTTAAATAGTTGTAGAGTCTGACCCGTGTTGCAAGGGTAAAGAGCCTTGTAACTACCATGGTCATCAACATCTTGATGATGATGGGACCGACAGGAGCGAGACACCTACAGTGCACTACAGGAACCCAATCCGCAGGGAATGCAGGGTTCGAAGATTCTTTGACGCACGCGTGTGGGTCGAAACAAAAGGCACTTGTGCTGGTCTTCGTGCAGGTCTTCTCGAACTGCTCCAGGGAGTTTTTGGCAGATCTTGCACAGGAGACGGTGCCCCGTTTATGCTTCAGCGGCACTGATTTGAGACTTGGCAGATTTGGGCCTTGAACATCAAGTGAACCAGATCACTCCCATTGACCAGAAGACCAACAAAAACTACCGTTACATTGTTGGTTGCTTGTAGGATGGTATTCAGTCATTGTCCTAAGCAGACTTGAGAGTTTTTGTGTTTCCGTTTGTTCCTGTTCTTTGAGGCATGTTTTGCTTGACTGGACCCCGAAAGGTTCATTGTATGGGTATTTGCCATAGCGACAAATGACATGTGCTCCGCTCTAGTTCTGCAATTGTGAGAAGAAATCATCCCCAGCAGTTCCAATCCCTTTCATGGCGTTGTCCGCCAGATGTTGTGGAAAGAATCATGTTTGTGCGGCCGTGTTTCATTGTTCACCAGATTCTCAGATCCCCAAGAGTTGAGAGGAGTTGGTGTCGGATCCAAGCTTCTAGTCTAAATAAACCCCTCACACAAGTTGAAGGAAGATTGGAAGAACATCTGACTCAGACCAGATTGAAAGACTAGTCGTATGGAGTAGTCTCTGATCTTGAACCCCAGGATGGAGGAGGCACAGGATGGCCTTGTGCTGCTGATGTCCGGCATTGCGGTCTCAGATCAGAAGCGTCCGGAGCCCTGGGTCCTGCGGAGTTGGTGTTTGTGTGAAGATGAAGAAAGAGTGAGCATATATAGAGTGAGCAAGTCTCAAGATTACAGAAACTCAGGACTCAGAGCAGAGAATCATCTCCCACCATGGGATAGCCTTTATGCTCTTGGTCTTGTTCATTTTGTTTATTTCCTTGGCTCGTGAGGACCCCATTCGTGTTTGCTGCAACAAACCAACAGGGTGCAGCTAATCTAGCGAGCTTAGCTGAGTGGCTTTACCTGACCTAGAATTGGTCTACTTTGGCAGAGTTAGTTAAGCATTAGCCTTGCCCAGGCTGTAAGTTCGGAGCAGCCTCAACCAATATACTTGGATGATCTTGGATGTGGATTTCCACTTTCAAATGGGTGGCCCGAAAGGGGCCCATATATCAAATTCCCTATGAATGATGGACTGCTTTCCATCTCAACAGCCGACACTAGCAGCTCCACTAGACGCTCCCGACGCTCCCGCTGGCGGAGGGCGATTCCGAGCGCCGGATGTGGTGAGCAGCTTCCCATGGTTGGGGGGAGGAGACCCCAGGAGTTGCTGCCAAGGTGAAGGCGAAAGGCGTGTGCCGTGGCAGCCCAGTTTGGAGATGGGGTGATGAATATGGTGAATTGGTCGGTTCAAAGAGGCCTGGGGGGGGGGTGAACAGGGACGAGGATCGGTGATCCAAGCACCGGCATTGGACACCGGTAAACGTTCGCTAGCGGCAAACCCGGGCGAACGCGGCCTTGCACCCGTTGTGCCACAGTTTAACAAACTGTTTGGTAGGTGAAGCGGGCATCCATGTTGGCATGTTGGGTGGAGACGACGCATGGCATGTAAGGAACTCTGGGCAGACACCGCAGCAGTGCTTCTTTGGTAATTTTTGCGGCATCCAAAGGTGAGTGGAAAGAATATGAAAGAAATCATATTTGAGGATGAAGGGATCACAATCCAAGGCAGGATTTAAAACGAACAGATTCAGAATCACATGTCAATCAGGATTAGGGGCTTCTTTGATCCCCGAAGTGGTGTTCGTCCATTCTTTGACAGATCCCTCGAGATCGCCGTGTGGAAAGCACCACAATGCAGAATTGCAATCGGATCTCAGGTGCCAAGTGCTGACCTTAGAGCGCTCCAAGCTGTTGCGCCTTTTAGGTTCCTTGAAAAAAACAAGGACGGAAGGGGAAGATGGAAACATGGCAGAGCTGAGTTGTTGTTACTGTTGTGTTGCACACACATAATGGGATGATGCACAAGCGCCATTCTCACACCACACTCCAGATGGCAGCTTTCAAAGGGTCCGCTGCGCAATCCAAATCAAAGCAAAACTCTTGGTTTTTAGAGTACATAGCTCTGCAACACATGCTGCCCTGGGCAAGTTCGAAGGATTCTTTACAAGTGTTTGGAAGTTCGGCACTCTAGGTTTGCCAGAGTTATATATTATATACATAATTATATATATATGTCATGTATAATATTTGTTGATGGCAAGAACATCATGGGGAACCCAATGAACGGTCCGAGTCCAAGCATCACTGATCAGGCGATCAGGCTGTCCATGTTCGTTGAGCCAATCGAAGTGACCATTCCATGGAATCATCCAGGCCCCCCCAAGGAACCGCTGCCAAGAGTGCCCTCACTCAGTCACTCAGTGCCTAGGCACTGTGGTTGGGATGCTAGGGGGTTGCGATACGAGCCACGAAGCCATGTTGTCCATGGAGCTTACCAACTGATGGAGTGGGGTTCCACGGGCGTACCGCAAGACACATGCGACTATGAGCCTCCAAAGTACCCCAGAACAGGTACGAACCATGACCCTGTTGAGCCGTACAGGTACGAACGCACCATGCTCTGAGCCGATGCCCCGCGCTCCGGTGCCCCTGAGGCACTTACCCCCACCAAACTGCGCTGATTGTGGCGGAGGCCAACAAGATTAATGCTCGCAAGGCGCCGAACGCCACCAAAGGTGCACGCAATGCCCGTGTGGCCAAGAAGGGTGAGGAACCGAGTCATGACCAAAGGAAGGGGGACCTTTGGGACTTTAGCTGTGAGTTCGGTGACCCGGGTCGGTGAGGGCATGAATGCCTTTTGTATCGTTTTGTAGCTCTGTGGCTTTCGTTTCTTGTGGATTTGGCAAAAGTAACATGCAAGAAGCTGAAAAGTCTAAAGAGTTTGGACCTCAACAGATTCGAACATGCTCTTGTTGAAGGGTGTGCCAGATGCATTTGAGACTGAAGCAAGCTTTTGCAAGCTTGCCAGATGATGCACACTTTGAACTAGCCAATTCTAAATTCTAAATGGCTTGGTCCCGCTTTGGAGAAGACATGCAAGATAGATTGAGCAGAAAAAACAAAGCAAATCCATTCAGGTAGATTCTGCATTGAAAGTATAAAGACATTGCACTTGGTGGTTGTGGTGTAACCAGCGGACAGGTTGTTTTTTTCTGGCTCCCTAAGAGGTCGGCGGAATCCGATTCCTAGCACATTTGTGGAGGCTCGATGTCTCGATCATGCACAAGCGTAGGTAAGGATCCTCCGTCCTCCATCCAATGATGTGTTTATATTAGTTAGTTATACAGTTATACTATATCAATATATATATATACTTTATATAGTACGATTTAATTTGATACTGTTTGGTTGTTAGGGATGGTGTTTTGGCTAAAGTTATCGCTGGTGGGATACACTTGCTAAAAGAAATAGCACCCTCATCCATATCACCAAGTCTCTGACCCAGCTCAGGGGACGCCTCTTCTGGTATTTCCCCTTTTGTGAGAACTTGGGTGCACTCTTTCTGTCAGAGCTCATCAACAGCCGCCTGGACCAGAATCCTGAAGTGGAATGCCTCAGTCGTCAAAGACGGTAGACGCTAAGCACTGCACCTCCAAGCTTTGCTTTTAGAGTGAAGCCCGGCTCATGAAGTTCCGCAAGTTAGATCACCATAGACAAAGGTTCTTCAATATGATTCCATTCCAAAGCTTGCGATACTGCTACGCAAAGTTTAGACCTCGAAGCGCAACGCGACTTGGACGTCCCTCCAATGTCCTTTTCTAGTCGCTTTGGGTCTTGGTGCTACCACATCCGTCATCGCGCTTTCCCGATCCGAGTGCTTTGGGAGATCCATTTTGGGGACATCATATGGAATCCATGCACTGGCGGCAACCGCAACCCATCTCTTCACACCATTTCACACCCTGTTTCAGTCGAACTGGCCTAGAGTTGGAACTGGCCTGGAGTTCCCAGTGGCACGTCCGCCCAGGTATGGAGCACTTCAAGCTCATCCCAGGGCAGCACTTGTTTCGGCTCCACAACTCATCTGCGGATTTCATGGTGGTGATGATGAAGGGGAAGGTGCAATTTTCTGGTGGTGTGGCGTATTTCTGGCGCCTGTTCGTTAGGGGGGTGTTCGTTAAGGGGTCAGCATCCTCACCGACTGGAAGGGTACGGTCATGTTTTTGTGGCACGAGATTGGACAACTCATCTCAGACAGGTATCATTTGAATTCATTTGATTCCATTGAATCACGTGCTGCTAGAAGATCATTTCTATGGATAAACAGAAACATGTGAAGGAAGACTGACATAAACCAACCAAGACCAACTTGCCGAGTAAACCACTTCTGACCTCATCAACGTACTTGCCAAACATGCGACCCCAACGGCCACCCCAACGGTGCGTCATGCAGCAAAGCGCATGTTATTTATTTGTGGCAACAGAAGCTACTAGTAACAAGTGAGTGTATCGCTACTAGTAACAAGTGCATCGCTACTATAGTAACAAGAAGCCATTTTTGGTTCTGCCGCCAGACCTGGCAGGTCAAGGCTGGGGAGAAAGTCCTGGATGCACCACGGGTGGTCTGCGGCTTCGACCGATGCTCGGGGTAAGCAGAGTGTATTGTTTCTCCGGTTTTGTTGTGAGACGCACCCTACCCAACTCTACACAGCGTTCCCTTTCCACATGTCTAGACTGGTTCAGCTGGATACAATCCATAAGAGTTGTTTCATCCTTTTGACATCAAGCAATCCCTCGTTAAAGAGACAGGTGCCATTCCAAGGATCTGGCTATGTGGAGACCATCGCTGAAGAGCTTTGTGATGTCTACTGCATGAACTTCGAGCGTTGCCATCACCTCGCGACCGGGCGAGCATGGACCCGACGTTCCTACGGTGACACATGGGGACGCTGTCCACAAAAGTCATGGCCGCTGACGTTGGAACAAAGATGAGATTTCAATGACAAGTCTGTATGTTCTTTGGCAGACACCCTGAAAATTAAAAACAAAAAACACTGATCTGATTCCAAGGCCGTGGCGTTACTACTACTACTACTACTGCTGCTGCTGCTGCTACTACTACTACTACTATTACCAGTAGTCCTTTTTTAAGCCAACTTTTTTACGACATAATTAGGTGGTCAGAGACAGTGAAACAAGGAAAGGGGGGCCATGGCTTCCCGGTTGTGATGGTCGGTGTGATGACTTTACCGGCCTGAAGAGGAAGGAAGAGAAAGAGAGAGAGAGAGAGAGTGAGAGAGAAGAGGAGAGAGAGGAGAGAGGGGGGAGAGAGAGGCGAGAGAGGCGAGAGAGGCGAGGCATGAGGAAGGAGAGAGGGATGCATTGTAGAAACACGAAAACCTGGTTTTGCACTTGCTTTGGGATCGTCGCAACATGAGAGTCGCTGACTAGTTCTATATAGGAGGTAAGGAGTTCCTTCTGAAATGTTCATCACTCCGTTGAGAAATGATCATGATACAGCGTCTGGAGAGTGTTGCAGTTCTGTTGATCTGAACAGATGTGTGGCATGAAACCGAACATCAACAGATGTTGTTTTCTATTAGGAGGCCATCGTTATTGGGTTGGAGGCCATGGCTATTAGGTTGGAGGCCATCGCTTTTAGGTTGATACATGAACAGATGTTCAAGTTGTGTCCCACTGGCCCAGGGTCGCACAGCTCAGAACTTGGGCATCAAATCGATCCCGTTAGGTTCACCGATGGACAGATGGACCGATACACTAGGACTTCACCAGGCCAAAGAATTCATTTGGTGACCGCTTCCAACCCCAAACAATAAACAAATAAACAAACTCCGCAATTATTATCAAATTATAGAAGATGCCCCAAGGGTCCGGGACCATCCTGAGGATGTTTTTGTCGGCCCCCAAAACCATCTGAAAGTACACTCACCTCCAAGACTGTCACAAGGTATGGGGTCATATATTTATTACAATATTCACTCACAGATTGATGTAGAAACCTCTATCCACCGAACCGAACCGGAATGGCTTCACCGTGTAGAGAACCTCCGCGCAAAGCAGCTCTCACGACGCTTCCCGTGTTGGATCGACGAATCGGTCGACGATGCAGGGACCCGTTGAAGCGGAAACATGGAGACCGATGAACAGAGAAGCGGAAACGAAACCATAGGGATCCAGTCGTATCTTCTCAGGTATGGTGATTTGAGGCACTGTTATGTAGGTTTGGAGGGTCCAAGTACCTGCTGAGAAGGTACTTGGATCCCTAGGGAAACAAAGAGAATCCGTTTCAAGGACGACGGACGAACCGTCCAAAACGATTCAGAACGATTTAAAACGGGTCTGACTGGACTTGGGACCTGAAAGGGATTTTGTGTCATTTGACGATTCATAGTCTTTGGACTTCTAGGGGAATCCAGTTGCTTTTTGTCCTTGTTCTTTTTTTCAAAAGCAAAAGACACACTCGTCTTAGGTGGGCCTTTGCCCGGACGAGATCCGGACGTTCTTGACGCGTGTGCAACGCTTTCAAGAACGTTTGGAATTCAGGCACGCTGACTTTAGTCGCTGCTCATGAGTTTTCAGCCGATTGAACATTTGGGTTCCTGCCTGGCTTCGGTTTGCTGGTCGTTCTTACCCCTTTTGAATCAGAGCTTGTGGAATAAGCCGCTCATGTCATCAACCTGACGCTGTGTGGAACATGTTCAACTTCTGCATGATGACCACACTGTGGGGAGACTTGCCAAGCCTGGCAGGGCAGGGTTATGGGCATCTATAGGCTTCGTATGAGATTGCCAGTTGACTCAAATCACGGTGGAATCCAGGAGGGTATACAATGTCGATCAATGTGGTTTTTGAATGTTTTTGAAGCCTCTCCCTGTGTTTCGCAAGCTGGTAAAAGTTTTTTGTTGCTTGACCAACCCGTCCATTTAATGTAAACAATTTCAGAACCAGAATCCCTTCACTAATCACACGACAATGAAAGATCCGAAGAACCCCAACAAAACGAGTCTTACGATGTCTTACGTATACTGTAAGAGTCTTAAATATTACACAGTTGTAGCTGTAGCCACCTTCAACGGCTTCGCCTGCGCTTTTTGAATGTGTTTTCCTACTTCTCGTGTTCAGACCGCCAATCCTTCAGGCAAGGGAAGGAATGGTTCAGCGACTCGGAAGTCTTGCTACGGCACGATCCCTTCGCCGCCTGCCCCGAGCACTTCTTGAAGGGCTGCAGCACCTTTATGCAGGCCCTGTCAAATGTGGTGCGATGTCAAGCCGCGACACGGTCTACGGAACACGCGTGCATGCGGGTGTAGAACTGGAGCTTTTTTGCGGGTTGCAGGAGTTTGAGAGCAGTCGTTTTCAAAATTACCGTCATTCACTTGTACAAGGCGTTTCATGCGGGACTGTGAATCTGAGCTTTCCCTTCGATAGCAAATTTTAAATGCAATATCCTTGGATGTTCATGTGACAATCTTGTAAAACCCTGCTAAACGATACCTACGGTGTCCATATGCCAAACGCGTCCAAAGCTTGAATGAATAAATCCTATAAATAAATTGGACAACAGCTTATGGAGTTGGGGATGGGTTTTGGATCCCTTACGTGAGTGGATGTTCCGGGCACCCCACATTCCCTGCCACCTATTGTAGTCACCGCTTTGAAGCTCGGTTGGAGTGTTCTGTTGTATATAGATATGAGAATTCTGTTTGGACGCTGAGCATGGCAATGCCACTTGGTGGCCACAAGATGTGATTCAACGATTCCCGCTTGGGCAGGTCCGCTATGTCCTGCCTGGAGAGGTCATCGTACAGGAGGGCTTCTTGGCGAGGGGTTGTGACCGAGGTTCTGTGACGGTGCTTTAAGAAGATGTGTCTTGCTCGATTCCTCCCGATGGATCCACATAGATCCTGAGAAGAAGATTTCGAGACTTCTAGCTAGCGCCTTGAGTCACCAACTCATCCCCATGAAATGATGTGACTTCTTTGACGCCTTAAATCAGACGTAATTGCCACCAACCAGCTCGTTCGGACAAGGTGACTGGAGATTTTAGGACTTCAGAAAGCTGTCCATTGCAGGGACCATTAGAATGAGGTTTCGATCCATTCAGAATGCTCATGGGATAGACATGGAACTCATCCCCCCCCAAAAAGGCAGGAGTCCGTCTCCGTAATATACACTGCAGTGTGCTACTTTTCCAGAAGGTCCAGATTCATGAAGATGTGCCTCAAAGACCAGCCTCAGGTTTGTGGAATCTACAAGTTTGGTTTGCCATGAACTGGCCGTCTCGTAATGTTGGTATCCCCAAATGTCAGAGTCAAAGGCCAAGGATGATGACCGCCCATGGCGGAACTTGGGCCTCTTGGATCAAGTCGAAAGACTCATCACATCAACCTCACAATGACTCCGGTTGCTGTAGGAACCGGACCTCAGGAGAGGAGGTTATAATGATGACTTTCTTTCAGTATATTGGATGTTAACATTCGTGACAAATCCACTGGCCATTCCTCAAATTAAAGAAAAACGACCCTGCGACCCCGTCGGCCTCGTCCTATCTTTTGTTGGATCTACCAGGCCGCCGGGCCGAGGCCGACGTCGACGTCCCATCGGATCGATCTTCCACGTCCGGTCCTGGGCTGAGGCGACGTGGTGGATCACGCGGTGATTCTCGCCATGGGCACCGCGCGGATCCATCGCCAGACCCGCGCGGGCCTGCGCGGCTGTCCCGATCGAACGGGAGACGACGGGGGGTTGACCGGTGGGCGGTGCAGGTGACGAAAGGAGGAAGGAAAGGAAGCCTGGGAAGTGACTTGTTGTCGTTTGCTTACATCATTTGGGGTGTGACTGCATCACTATTCCGTGAGCCGCTGGGTGCAAACGACAAAAATAAACAAACGCTTATATAACCTTACTGTAATTTTCTACCTCCAGCCAATCCACTGCTTTTTGGGGGGATGTAAAGAGAGCTAATGAATGTCAATGAAAAGGCCACAGCCGGCACCAGTCCCAGGAGAAGTTGAAGACAGCTACTTGGTGGGCAGCATCAGTGGAGCCTTCCGCTTCGCGGGCATGCAACAGCGACTGGCTACGATCCATGCCATTACGCTCTGCAAGGTGCGATGTTGAACTCTGCAAGGTGCGATGGCCTTTTGCCATTGGTTGATTGATAGAGGGGACACCCGCAAGAATACTGCGTATTGGTAATTGGTAATTATTTATCGGACCAAAGCGACCCCTGCGTTTGAATTCTGAAAGGACATTATTGAATTGGAATGGAATGGATGAAATCGTCCAAATCGATGTGAAACCCGGGATGTTTGTTTTTTTGGCTGGCTTTGGTCGATGTGGTTCCTCCGTTTGTCGTATGTTTGAAGTGGTTGTATACATCAAGACGAGTGATTTGTTTTGTGATCTAAGCAGCACCACCCAATTGCTTTTGTGGCAATGTCGCATCATGGAAGCTCCTTTCCCGCCTCCAGGTGGTGGAGCTCAAGATCAATGGGATCCTGGGATTGTTAGATAAATATCCAGACGCTTGGACTGTAGATCGGATCTGAGTTGGATGGAGTTGATTTCAGGAAGGATTTGAAAGAAGAGACCATACATAAGTTAAATCAGGTTGTTTCGTGCTAGAAAGTCATAGAGATGCTGAACCCGTATATTGCAAGTTGAAGGGAGACAAACGCCTTGGAGCAGTGTAGGGAACACCACGCACGGAGAAGTATTTATTGTACTTTCCAGCAGGAGAAACCGCTGTGCTGAAAAGCCCTTCAATCCGTCATGAACTTGAAGAAGACAAATGACTTCACCCTTTTTTGCGATTGGTTGGCGATCCCAGAAGTTGGTTGGTTTCCTTGCACTTGTTTTATAGACATGATTATATATATATATGTACGTGTTGATCAAGCTTTTCATATCCGCTTCGTGCTTCTTGCCGGTGGTGAACAAGCACATCTGAACAACAGGCTCGGGCATTGTTCGGAAGCATCCCTCGACCAATCAGTAACTGCTCCTTCCATAGATTACCATCCAACCTAGGCACTTAGGACACTTACATGCAGTCTACTCAGTGGACCCCGTGAAGACAATGTCCCTTTTTCTCTTGTGGAGGAATCCTGCACCAGCTGTGTTTGGTGATTGCAGGTGGTGTTCAGTGTTCAGTGTTTCTTTCTTGTTCAACTGTGGGATCCTGGACTCTCCAAGTTCCTTGACAAATACATGTTGCATGACATCCTTCCCAAACAGATATGTACTATTGTAAATTTAATCTATTGTGTGTATATATTTACAAATATATTACTCGTACAGTATATATTTGTATACCCATATCCAAAACTGAAACTTTTGGAACACACATCACAACAATTGCACTGCCGGGCGCATGCCTGGCTGGTCCCGAGGATGCCTGCCAGAAGTTCCGCGAGATCGCCGAGAAGCGCTTCAAAGAACTGGCGCCGGAGCCTTTGGAGGACGACAGGGGGTGGCGACTGACGAGGTCGGGGGCCCCACCGGTGTAGTATTTGTTCTCGGGACAAGGCCGGAGGGGGGGGTGAACCAGGATGGTGATTTCGCACAGGTGAAACTTGGAAGCTTCTAAATATTCTAAATATAGTCTTAATCAGTGATCTATTATATGTTATCCTGCTCGATGAATCAGAAACGTGTTTCATCCATTTGCGCAGAATGACTTGACTCGAGGCAGCTTTCCGAACTGTTTCCTTTTGCTCGGGCCAAAGTCATTTGGGAGTCTGGATGCCCTGGTAGAACCAAACGACCTTGATCTAATAATGGCTGATATTCAGGGTATCCATGTTCAATAGAAAGCAGGAATGCGACGTGGTTGAGAAACGCATGGCCGGCATGGCCTATAGACTGTTTTTGAACATTTTTCAACATGGAATTTGTGATTTGTGATCTAATATTCTTTCCGCGTTGTTCCATCATGGTTCGGCTGGGTCTTGAACAAGTGGTTTAACTCGATGGGCAAAGGCAGCTTCTTCGGCAGTGCCCCCACACATCCGAGTTCCTAGATGAGGTGCGGATGCTCTCATTCACAGCTTGCAGGAGCACCCGTTCTTCAAGGGCTTTTCCAAGTCCTTTCTGAACACCTTGCGCACCAAGTGCAACTCTCAAGTCTTTTTCACGGGCGAAACCATCATCAAGCAGCTATCCTGCAGCAAGATGTCCTGTTCGTGATTGATTACTGATTAGAGAGCATAAACCTGTTGTATCCATTTGTGATTGCATTACAATATATTACTTACACCTGGAGGCAACAGGTCACCGCTTGAAACCTGTCAGCACCCAGCAACCCTCTAGAGGAAGCCAGTCGCAGAGTGCTGGTATGTGTTCTTTTCTAAAGGCCCAATGATTTCCAACGAACTCATGATTATTGTTAGGGAGGGTGCTAGAGGGTGTTTCCTCGTATTAACACCCTGGCCCTTGGTCCATCTTCGTCCCAACAAACACATTCCTTCTTTGACATGCTCTCCGTCACATGTTGTTTTCACAGACATCCATTTTTCCCACCATCTCTTCATGGCTCTTCTCCCTTTTCGGCAGGTCTCCAATGCCGGAATATGGATCCAAAGGACTCCACGCTCCCGGAGGCTCCTCCAATAGTCTGGCACAAGCCAGTCAGTCTAGACTCACCCTCAACCATCAGACTACTCAACCAACCACTCAGCATGTCCGTTGAGGCAAGGCGACACGGCAGAGAGTATGATCATCATTTCTCCCAGTTCCGTGGTGACTTTGTTCGTGGACGCGCGGAAGCTGAAGGATCTCCACGGAGGCTGCGCCGAGCTCGGTGGATGTTCGGGGCACTGCGAGGTGGATGTTCGAAGAAAGACTGGTGGATGTTCGAGGAAAAAGTGCATGGCACACTTGCAGGTGAAAAGACTGTTGCGATCCCAAAATAGTTGTTGGAACGGATATGAATGGCATGATGTGTGCCTGAAGTGTGGGATCTGCAATTCTGGCAGAATTCTGCCCGTGTGAGTCTGAACCGCAGGAGAAACTGAAGAGTCGAAGGTGAGGACTTTTGGACCAATTAAGCTTCCAAAAGTTGATCGGTGACTTCCAAACAATGGACCCTGAGTTGGAGGAAATTGTCATGTCATTCACGCAGTGAAGGTTTCGCCCCAAAAAATGACGCCGCCAGGTTGTACTTTGGGTGTGCAATCCATCTTATCCGCCAAACCCGCCAAGCGCTTCGCCACGATCGTGGCCATGAACGCCTGCGTCGTGCAGAAGCTCACGCGCAAGGACCAGGGTCAGTTAGAAATGAAGCTGAATGAAACCACCTAGAGCGGAACAGCTAGAGCTGACCCTGGCTCAGTTAGAAATGGACCAGGCTCAGGGTGACCTCTGAGTGGAACAGCTAGATTTTCCACCTTCCGCCGCCGCAGTGGCAGGTACGGGAACCGGACCGAGAGCGCGGTTTATGCGGATCACTGGTTTACTAAGCCAGCAGACAACATGAAGACAAGAGCATCAACTAGCATGCCACTGAATTAACAGCCTCTTTTGTCACATTTTGCCACTCTCATCCTACCTTCTTTCGGGTCACCCAGCTGGTCTCTGCCCTGTCCTCCAAATGAACGATGGACCCCCTGGCAACGGTTCCCATGCGCTGGACGTCCGTCCCACCACCTTCAGCCCGCAGGACTGGCTGGATACCTTGAAGAGCCACGCTGAGCATCGCTTTTGGATCGGCGACTTTGTGAAGGAACAACTGCAAGTGGCCAACGAGCAGGTGACACCGAGCCGATGAATGGGAGAGTGGGGAGACAGAAGCAGGGAGAACAAACGAGCAATCGCTCTTGGTAGTTTTGGTGGAAGCACAAGTTGGATCGATCAGAATGCTTTTGGGAGAGGTAGTGAATGAGAAGCTTTGCGTGAAGCTTTGTGTTTGTTCTGTTTGAGTGCAAGGACAGGCTAATCATGGTGGGTGTTCAACCATCTTTTGCTTTTCACGGCTTTACTTGTATCATACAGAATTAATTAATACTGTAGAAGTTTGGTGTTTAGCCAGACGCTCCTGAACCCTCATATTGAGGGGGGGTCCGGGGTCGAACAAATTCCTATAGGTTTTGAGGAACCGGTCAGGCTGTGAACGGAGCATTTGGCTACCAATATTGCGCACCTAGGATTAAGTAACCACCCCCCCTTTAAACCATCCCCAGCCCACCCCCCCCCAATACTAAACTAGTGTAAAACCTAGATCTCCACCTTGGCATCCCCCTCATAGTATTTTTCTGGGCAGAAACCTCCCCCCTGTTGATCAATCCCAGCTGCCCCGGGAAAAAACATATCGTTTACTTTACTATTTACTTGTTTCATGTTCTTTGTCTTTTGCATATGCTTCTCTACCTTCTTCTCCAACTCCCTATTCTTTACCTTCTTCATGAACTCCTCATAGTCTTCATTTTTTCTTAGAGGCTGGTGTCTTCATCTCCTCATCTTCCTGATTGTCACCAATCCTTTTGATTGCTTCTCCTAACGGCTCATTCTACGAACCATCCCCCAAAAATATCTAGCAATTGTTTGTAATTTTTCCCTTTTAAAACTCTATCAACATCTTAACTTTTTCTAGCTCACAAAGAGGGTACTGTGTGAACGCCCTAAGCTGTCTCAGGTAGAACTTTGTTGTCTCAGTTCTGTGTGCCAAGCAGAGGGATTGACATGAACACATTGTTTGTTTATTTAATGTTTCTTCACGTTGTATGATTTGAGTGGCAAAACGCATAGGCACACAGGATGTATTTTCAGGATCCGAGATTTTTGTTTGTTCAAGCCCGACTCGTCCCCACACTTGCCATGACCACCACACCGAGTAAGAGAATGCGATTGGAAGTGACGAGCGGCACGCCTGAAAAGGAGGAGGCATGTTTCATGATTCAACTGTCATGGGCTGTTGTATTTTCAGTTTGTGTTTTCTATGTGGCTGCTGTGGAGAAGCACCTGTATCCGCAGTCTGGATATTTTTCCTACACTATGTACAAGTGTTTTCAATACCTATCCTATCCAGACTCGAAAAGGGAATACATAATGCGGTTCCCAGGTGCAACATGTCATGCATAGCATGCCAGTGCTGGGTGCTGAGCACTAACCCTGGGTTTGGAGTGGGCTCCTTCCTTTAAAAAAGGCAAGCAAGCAAGCAAGCAAGCAAGCAAGCAAGGAAGGAAGGAAGGAAGGAAGAACTGGGAGTCTGCTGGGAGTCTGCTGGGAGTCGCCGACATCGGTTCGATGAGAAGACACCGAAGATGTGAAGAAAAGAAAGAAAGAAAGCAAGCAGCAAACAAGCTGTAAGCATTCAAGCTGAGTGCAGCTGATTTGCCTCATTTCCTTTTTTTCGTGTTCAAAGACAAATCTAGTATAATCTATTCAATACACCTGGTTTGGAGAGCTTTCCCCCACCCCAGACAGGCTTCACACAAAAGTCATGGGTGCAAATAGTCGACCCTTTCAGCTCGAACACGTCCCCTATACATGTTGGAGTATTTGTGTGTAGCTGGGTGCCCTGCCCTGCAGGATCCATGTCGCAAGGCCAATGTTGCAGTGTCATCGTTGAAAGCCTTTGCGACAGATCTTCGTGAAGAGCATGCTGCTGCCTTTAAGGCTTTGGAGCTCATGGAGCGAGAAGCAGTGCGGTAAGGGTTCACAGTTCACAGCGATTTCTGCTTGTGTCTTCTGTGGCGCTAAACGTCATGGTGTGGCATGGTCATACCGTAGTGGTGGATTGAAGCAGAAGCTTCGGGTCACCACAGGTGGGTCATGTTTTTGCTGTGTGAAGGCAGCTAAGCTGCTTGAGTGCTCTCGTTCCCAGAGCTTGGTCAGTGCAGCCGGTGCTTTATCTCCCTTTTAAAGGTGAGCAAGCGGAAACGTGATGAGATGGGTGCAGACGACGTTTGCTCATGCCATCTCTGTGTGAAGCCGTGATAGCTTTTTCAGAGCTTAAGATCTAACATGGGCTGATACTTTTCAACCTGTGATGTGAGGGTTGCCAATGCAGAAGCTTTCTCAGCTTCTTGTATTGCGATATACCAGGGAAACGATGACAACCATCGATGGGGAAAACTGCCTTGGAGTTTGAGTTTGTTGGACGACAACAACAACTGCTGCTGCTACTTTTTACTCCTGCTATTATTACTACTACTGCTACTACTACTGTTGTATCACCTAAGTTCCTGCTGCAAGTAACTTCTCGCGTTTCTCTTCTACAGCGGTGCTGTTGGCAGATCAGCTTGCACTCTGGCATGTCTCACACTTGCTTGCATCTGGCATGTCTCACATGTGCTTGCAGAGTGGGTTCAAAATGGTAGCCATCTTCAGGGTTTGCAGAAAAGATGCTCATAGAGTTGGAGGTTGCGCTGTCATTTTACTCACAATGACTCCAGTACTGGTGCATGTTCCGAGTAGTTTGGAAATTGGCTCATTGCTGCGTGTAGTCGTGTCCACGCCGGCCATGGGGTTGATCTAGGCGAAGCCTGTGTCATGCCTGAAAGAAAGCACCTCACTGAGAGCAAGATCACCCGCCTTAGCCAACTGGACCTCCATGAGCAGATACTGGCATGGGGTGTCAAAGTTCCAGCAGGCAGTGGCGACTTGATGCGACTTGCGTTGCTTTCGGAAGCTATTCGCAAGCAGCAGTCTGGTAGTGTCTTGACACAGGTGAATGTGGAGTTGCTTTGTACTGTTTCAATGTGCACTCGTTCGGGGTCCCGTTCGGGTCTCGCCCAGACTGGCCAATTTTTTGTTTTTTTCATTCCAGTGTGAGGTGCAAAAGCAGTTGGTTCAGTGCCCTTGCCGCCTCCTCCATGTCCACCACCTGACTCGTTCCTTTGTAGCGGGTGCAAGCTTGACATCCCCAACAGCAACCGCAGTTGCCTCCCTGCGTGGTGTTCATCGTGCTTCGATCGCGAGCTCGCAGAGCGGCTGAAAGAGTTTGAGAGACGTTGGAGTGAAATCCGCTCCAAACAAAGCAATTTTTCCAGTCTCCGAGCTCTGGACGCGTGCCACGAGTGTTGGGAGCATGGGTACAGTCGGGCACATGTGCTGAAGGGTTGGTCTTCCATAGGTTTGAAAGCAGGTGAACCTGTGTGTCGTGAGAAGTCATCTTGCAACGGGGTGGGCAGCTGTTTCGGCAAACTGTTCCAAAGGAAGATCGCAACTATGGTGGCAAAGAAGCTGACAAAGTGTTTTCGCCTCCTCGAGGCTACAAAAGGGCGATTGAATCAGTACGTTGCAGCTCTGCCAAATGCCGTGGCCTGGTGCAGCCTTCCCATCAGTTTTGTCCAACTTGTGGTGCGAAGAATGAGGCATTCAGCAGTGTTTCCCAGGCAGTGGAGATGGGCGCCCGCCAGCAGGGCTATCGTCGCAAGGCCACCGCCTTGACCAATATGGAAGACGCATTGGACTATGAGCCCGCCGCAAAGAAACACCTTTGCAAGGTGTGGGGCGATATGCTGAGCAAAGTGGCTGGGAAAGATCCTGCTGCACCCTGCACGCCTGCTCCAGTCTCTGCAGCAGTTCCTCCCGCACCAGCTGTCCCTCAAGAACCGCCCAAGGCTTCTTCTACTTCTGCTCAGGCGCCTTGTCTGCCGGCGCCTCCTCCCGAATCATCTGAGAAGGAAAAGAAGACGGAATATGACTTAGACGTTGCTGAGGATGCATGCCAATTCATTTTGGCGCACTTCAAAGCTTCTTTGCAAGAAGAAGCAAGGCCAGCAGTGGAATTTTTCGTTGGTGAGTTGAAGAAAAAAGCCTCGAAAATAAAGCCGCTTTCCGCTTGGATGCAGAAGGAGATTGTGGCCACACGTGTGTTGATGAAGCCGCAGAGTCGGCACATGTGGCTGACTTCTTGGAAGGAGAACCGGTCTCACAGATATGTGTCAGGGCCAAAGTGAAGAAAAAACCGTCGCCGCTTTGCAGCTGTGCCATTGGGATTGGACATGTGGGGTAACTACTGGGTGGATGGGTGGATTTCATCCACGATGGACATGGAAAACCTTCACTACATTCTTCTGAACATGGCAAAGCGCAAGTTGGTGATGTGATGACAAACCTCTGCTAGGTCTGTTGGGTAGAGAATGGTTTCCGCTTTGTGCCATGGGGAAGTTGTGTGTAGTTGACACGGTTTACCTTCAAATCCTAGGTCTCCGGACATGGTCAACTGCAAGCAAGGGGTGTTGTTCCCGCTTTGCTACCGCTTGCAATGACGATGCTTCTCAGCAGCTGTGCCATTGGGGGGTTGGTCATGTGGGTTAACTATTGTTTGTAATGGCGTAACTCGCTGTGCCTTGCGGCTGGGGTAACTACTGGATGGATGGGGTAAGTAACGTACCCCCCTCACAGGCCCTACTCCCCCCAATAGTAAGACCCCCTCCCCGTATTCATCAATCCCACCCTCTGGCCTTATTCTTGTCTTCCAATGCTTTCATCCTGCAATCCTCTTCCAATTCTTCCCAATCAAAGAGAGTATCACCAAATGGTTTCGCAATCCCATGGTTTCCCCATTCAGTTTCCTTCTCGTCCAAATCTTCCCAATCAAACCATCATCCATCATCAGGTCCAGGTCCTCATCTCATCATCCATCAGCAGGCAATCACCTTTATTAGGGGGATGTGGTCCTCCAATACCTCCAATCTCAGACCTTGTTGACCTTGTTAGTTGACCTTGAAGGGGGGTGCCGTTGATTAATCCTACGTGCGCATTACTGTTATGATATGTATGTATGTAATATATATATATATAGAGAGAGAGAGAGCGACAGGCACCTTTGAAGAAGTAGTATTTTTTCCAGGCTTCAAGGCGGCTTTTTTCTCGTGGAGGCTCAAGAGACCATCCGGAAGTACCGCTGGCAGAAGATCAAGGAGCGCGAAGGTGCTGCGATGAAGCTTCACAGGGAGCGCACCCTGAGTCGCTACAGGCACCTGGGAACTCCCTGAGAGTCAATGGCTATCGTCGTCGTCGCCGTCGTCGTCGTCGTCGAAGTAGTAGTAGTAGTCGTCGTCGTCGCAGTAGTTGCTGTTGTTCTTTTTACGCACCTTTTCTTTCTTCAAGAGCTTTAGACACTTCATTGCTGTTCTATGTTTAAAGCATTTAAAGCCTTTAAAACCTTTTTCATTTTTGTTTGGACCTTTTGACGTAGCCGTTTCTCTCCATATGATTTGAACAAAAGAAACAAAATGTTTTTTTGCTTTAAAACATCCGGAACTGCTACATGCACCTGGTCACTCCTGAGTTCTCGGCTGTTTTTTCTGGAAATTGTTGGAGTAGATCACCTAGGACTCGCGTCCCTTAGGACTTTTGGCTGACGAAACAATCCTAAGTGGTTTGCCCAAACACAGGCTGACTCGGATTTGAGTCAAGAGTTCTATATATGGGAAATTCCTACTGCATGAGCGATTGCTCACCAATTTTTTGCTCAGAACTCATCACAGAGGCCATTTCTGCTGCTTAAACCTGTTCAAGGGTGTAGTGTTCAGGTGTGCTTCCGGCATCCTTTTGAATTCGCAAGAGCCACCTTTCGGTCCAGTGATGTCTTAGGCCAAAGCCACCGAGCCCGAGCTCTGTGCAGCCGGAAGGAGGGCCAGCTGTGAACCTAGTAGAGGAGGAGGAGGACGAAGTGGAACGATGGCCGTGCTTCAACGGGCAAGAGGTGGGAGAAGAAGGGGATCTCCATCTATCGTTTCCTGAGCTCAGAGCTCATCGCAAGAGATGGTCATATTGAAGTTTCAAGATCTTAAACTCAATCGCACTTGCGTCTCTTCTTTCACCGACCGCCACTGAAACCAAAAGACCTTCACCCCATTCGATGCCTCGCCGCGTTCGCCGCGTTCTTCGCCGCACCGTCCACGTCGCTGTTCTTCGGCACCCTTCGTTTCGTCCAAGCAACGTGTTCGGTGACCGTGGGCGACCTCCGAAGGCGGTGGTGCCTCACACGCGATTGCCCACCTTGGTCCCTTGCATCGAAGCCAGAGAAGATGAGGACGGCATCGGCACGGGAAACAAGCGGTACCGACCTGGCACCAACTGGGACACCGACCTGAGAGGAACATGGTGTGGGGATCCAGGACGACCACTGTCCGACTGAAAAACATGCACGAGCTTGCTAGCGATCTTCGGGGTATTTTTTGTAGACCCCATGCCCATCTATGGAACGTATGTACCTTTGATTCCGGCTTGTAATCTCCAGAACTATGCACACCATTGCACACCCAAATCCTCACAAACGCCCAAATATGCGGAAACAAAGTTGAACACCTGCCCAGACCATCCCAGACCTCTATATAGTGTGTGTGTGTGTTTCGCCCAAAAAATATGCGCGCACACACACACTTCATGGCTCAACTGAAAAGACGCTGATCATTACAGGCTTCACTCGGTGTGTTCCAACTTAACAAGATATGTTACATTTGCGAGCATTTGGCAATTTCTTTGGTCAATCAACAACACTGGTGGGCCAAATCCTCCAGAGGAGCCGGTGGCCCCAGTACGCTCCGCCTTGCGCCGCATGAGCGACGTGGCCAAGAGCCTGCGCTTCACCAGGCGCCACCGGTGCGAGGTCGGAAACCACCGAGCTGATCCCCTTCATGGGTCGGGTTTGATAACGCTCTGCAGATGGCTGCATGATTTACACATAGGCGATGCAC